AACGAAATGGACCTTGTTTCACTGCCATGTCCAATGAACAGATCTAAACGTCTTTAGCTACGTATCTATGAGAGAGCTTTAGTGCAAACTGTATACGTTGTCTCAGGGCTGATTAGCAATGACGACAATCAGTACAAATATTACAACTCTAATCCTACTGGATCAGAAACATTACTTCAGAAAAAATGTGAACTTAAAAAACCTCAATAGTAATTATGTACTTATACATCCCATACCGAAAGTGAATATACAATATCTGATACCGCCTCGAGGAAAAGTAGATCCAGAATAGATAGTAAAACGGCTGTTCTAAATCAACACCGATAATGAATGTTAGCAGATCTTGGCAACAGAGTTTCATGGGGGGATTAAGAACATAACCCTTTATTGATGTTCAACTAAATAATTCATCAAATGTTCTCGTACAACTACGGTGGCAAATCTGGATTTGAAATACGATCTCTGCCAGACTCAGGGCATTATCAACTGATAAAGCCCCAGACAGGTCATGGTGTCTGGAGCAGAGGAATTACTGGACTACGGGCCATAATGAACTATTTACCTCTGGTGGCCTGGTAACAGTTATAGAGATGGGCTCAGATAGACATCAGTTGTAATTGTTGATATCCCAGATGGCAGTCGTGAGGAAATCAAGTGTATCATGCTTGGAACAGCTTCACATAGTTGGAGGTCGTATGCATGTCGAATTGGTATAGATCGTGTAGACAGCATGTGTCGGATGCAGAAAAATCAAAAGGGATAGTATTGTTAATTTAAAGAAATATATCAGTTGGATATAGGAAAATAGATAAATGATATAAAAATTCACGGATGGTTTGTAAAATGAAGCACTCAACAACTAAACCTTTGAGTAAACTTGTAGAAAGGAGAAAGTTTCATTATTACCCTTGGGAAGTGTAGACAGTTTGTATGGTGATGTGAAATTAATAATGAAATTGTTTACAAGTAAAACCTCAGTAAATGAATTGTATTTATCTAAGTGACATGTATACACTAAACCATGGCTTTGTTGACTTCATAAGAGGCAGTGCCAAAGACACGGCTTCGAACCCTACGACTGTACAATATATAAAGTCTATTCTCTGTCCAGAAAATGTTGGTATTTTGCTCAACGCGACGTAAAACTCTCACTTTAACATATACATTTCTGGTTAGGTATCTAACGAGGATAAACGTTAGGATAGTGAAATGTTATTTTGCTGAAGAAAGTAAATGCATGTTGGATTTCAATGCGCCTCATTTCAACTTCATGTTTACCAGTGCTGAAATAGGCCGATGTAAGTACCTCTTAGATTTGAACATTTAAGCGGATATGATATAAGCCATCCTCAGTTATTCAGTGAACTACACCCCCATTCTCCTGTGATAAACTACTTGCACCCATTCGCCACCAAAGCTTCGTCAAGAGCCCAATTCGAAAAGTATGGTGTAAAAACTTGCCGTCCAACCAAATTACTCCCACGAGCGAGAGCATTTCTTTACTAAGTTAGATATTGGATCTATTGATGTGGAGACGTCACTTCCGAAACGATGCTATGGTGACGAATGGCGCCAGGGTATCGTTGGTTGGTTGGTTTGTTGTTTAACGCCGCACTCAGCAATGTGCCAGCTATATGACGGCGGTCAGTAAATAATCGAATGTGGACCAGACTATCCAGTGATTAATATCATGATTGGTTGGTTGGTTGGTTGCTTTGTTGTTTAACGCCGCACTCAGCAGTATTTCAGCTATATGACGGCGGCCTGTAAATAATCGAGTCTGGACCAGACAATCCAGTGATTAATATCATGAGCATCGATCCACGCAATTGGGATCGATGACATGCATCAACCAAGTCAGCGAGCCTGATCACCCGATCCCGTTAGTCGCCTTTTACGACAAGCATAGTCACCTTTTACGGCAAGCATGGGTTGATGAAGACCCATTCTACCCCGGGTCTTCACGTGTCCTTTTTTTTATCCACGCAATGCATCAACCATGTCAGCGAGCCTGACCACCCGATCCCGTTAGTCGCCTCTTGCGACAAGCATAGTCGCCTTTTACTGCAAGCATGGGTTGCTGAAGATCTATTCTACCCCGGATCTTCACGGGTCGTATTTATCGTAATCTAGTATTTATCGTAATAGAAGTAAGTTATAATATAACGGACATTCAAGCATGGATGTAAATATTCAAAATAGGTTTATGTTCGTAATCTAATTCCCGACTGAAGTTTGTTTGGTTGTTGTTAAACGCCGCACTCAGCAATGTTCAAGGTGTAAGACGGCGGTCTGTAAATAGCCGAGTCTGGACCAGACAATCTAGTGATTGACATCATTAACATCGATCTGCGCAATTGGGATACGTTTTATTGAGTGTGTCGGAACCATACAGACCTATATTATTGCAAGAAATTTTGAACAAATAATATAAAATAAAATAAATATTAACGACTTTACCATGTATTAGATGAACTGGGTGTCACGAGAAATTGATGGGGCGTGTTTTCATGAGAGTAATTTCAATGATGTACCATGACTTTAAAGGTATACAGAATATTACGTGCATTAATTCTTACCGTTGTATGCAGGCAAACACAGCGGACATCTTGCCTCCTGGTAACTTTGAAGACTGGGACCACTCGGGGAGATACAGCCCTCTCCAAAACTTTTGAAAAATGTATCAGTTATTCCTAGTGGGACTAGACTCGGGACACTGGCTAAGTCTGTTCCTGATTAGAACACTTGTACTCCTCGTGTTTTTAACTAAACTTACTTACAGTTATCAGCATGCCGGTCTCCCAGACTGCCTATCTGTAATCTGTATAATATTAGAAAATATAAAATTCACAAAACATTTCAGCCAAGTGGTGCATTTCTATATACAGGGTAGGCCATCACTTGTTGAATGATAAACAGGGTAGGTCATCTCATGTTGAATGATATACAGCGTAGGTCATCTCATGTTGAATGATATACAGGGTAGGTCATCTCATGTTGAATGATAAACAGGGTAGGTCATCTCATGTTGAATGATATACAGGGTAGGTCATCTCATGTTGAATGACATACAGCGTAGGTCATCTCATGTTGAATGATATACAGGGTAGGTCATCTCATGTTGAATGACATACAGCGTAGGTCATCTCATGTTGAATGATATACAGCGTAGGTCATCTCATGTTGAATGATATACAGGGTAGGTCATCTCATGTTGAATGATATACAGGGTAGGTCATCTCATGTTGAATGATATACAGGGTAGGTCATCTCATGTTTACTGTCGTTCAAAGTTACCTTACTTTAGATATGATTAAATGAAAACTCTATAAATACATATCATATTTGAAGGTAAACATGTTATGCTATCTGAAATCAGTTGAACGTTTTGTATCTTAAATGTTTGTGTAATTTGTCTTTTGATGATAAGGCATACAAAACTATTTGTTTATGTTTTGAAAATGTTTACATTTCAGTTTATGATACCATTACTAAGTTTATTCTTTGCATCAGTTTAAGAGTAAAGAAAATATCACTTTAATGGGTAAGAAAACATGAAGCCGAGACAAAGCTATAAGAACGTTCAAAGGTACACGCTATGGTTAAAGTTGTTGCAAAGAATACGACCCATGTGTGAAGGGGATACATATCTCGGAGGGCTTTCACAACTGCCGCTTTCCATCTCGCATCAAACACATTACAACCTCCAAACCCACTGAAATTTGACTCAGACCATTTGGTCGGTAACAATGTGCCGTTCCAGTAATCAGGGATCTATCTCTCTCTAGTCGAATACTTCAACAGACAGCGTCTGTCTGTTGGCCGGGATAATTGGACTAAATCTGAGAGATTCGCATTAATTTGAGAGGTACACATCCGAAATCTTTTGATATGAGTAATTTTAGCTACTTTGAAGAGTGGCAGACAAGCTTGGTCGTTAGGAGAACAGCATTTGGCAACTTTTGAGTGTTGTTAGAGTCGATCGAAGACAAGAATAAATCGAAAACGAATACAGGACATGGTAAAAGCCTTTTTTCAGGTTTAGGGATATTTTGGTCAGACATTCCTTAGATATGCTAATAGGTGGGGAAGATAATGCTTTAAGGAATTTGATAATAGGGATGCGTTGGCGCTAAAGGTAAATTCGTTTCTTTGTTATTTCAAGCATTACTTGGTTTTAACGAGGGGAGACGACCCGATTATTTGATTTGGATCTAACTTGGACGGGATGGTCTTTATTGAGCGGAATGTCGATAATGTGTTTTATAATTGTTCTATGATAGTAGTCAAGGCACAGTCGACTTAGTGAGATTAGTTTGCAAATTGTTTATACAAAATACATTCATGTATATGTTTAATAAAACTGTGGGAATGTACTATTGTGAGAAAATAACTTCTTCCAAGTATTTAAATGTTTCCCTTTGAAATGTGTTTCCGACATGTATGATGAATGTGTTGACGGTCAAAACCATTTTTCTTGGCATTTCACAAAGAACTCCGAAAATCCGCTCAGACAATAATATTGGCCCAAGAATTCGTTTTCAAACAATCAATTTCACGCCAGTCACCCGTGAGCGACCAGGATAGACACTGGTAATTTGAAAGCGAAGCGACTTTTTGTGCATTCACTGGCCAGTTGTATATTTTTCGTGTAATTATATTTTCCGTTCTACCATAGCCAATTCACACCTATCTATGTCACTAATGAGGCTAGGAGATGAATTGCAGAGCACTTGAATGATTGACAGGGGCAGGGATAGACAAACAGATAATGTCAGAGACTGACAGCGTGGCCACTGGTCAGTGTCGTCTCCATTCACCGGACCTGTCTGGACCTCCGCGTTCTTCGGCTGATGGGTTTAAGATAACACCGGATCATCATATTTACGTCGATAAAAAACCGTATCCGATGACGAGGGCGCGCAAGATCGGGTACGAAACTAATCAAGTCAAGTTCGAAACTATTCCTTTTGTCCTAGCTCTGCGTGGTTCCTCTTTCCGGCAAAGCGAAACGACTATTGATGGCAGATAGGGAATAGCATTCCAACAGATAAGAATCAGTCACGGTTTTTGGAAATGCTTTCTTTATCAAGCCAACTTTCCAATTTTCCTCGCCTGGCTACTGGGTTATGTGGCCTGATACTGCTCCCACCGGGGTCCCGACTTTACGACATGGAGAGGCAGCTTGACCATAGTGACTGACTGTAAACAACAATTTGACAGTCTAGATAGGTGAGAATCCAGTGTGACAGGGCCGATAGCGGGGAATGTCGAGATGGCACAGGTCGTACTTAATATGTCAGAAGCAGTGATGGTGTAATTCCTGACGTCCCCGCAGTGCATGATGTTGTACCTATTTGTGGAGCTGCCAAATGACAAGTAGCTGCTTGTTGCCTCAGAATAGATTAAGACCAGATGTGCTGCTTGTGCGAAGCTGTCACACAGTGTATGTGGTACTAACAACAAATACATGCTGAATAGGTACAGGAAGCCGGAATTCGGGCTGTTACGGGAGCTGCTTACATTCGTTACAATGAAAACAGGATGGTGCACGTGTAACGTCTAATAAATACAGGCGCACTGTGGTCGGTGCTATTTTTTCCTGCAAAGGGCTGTGTCCCCTCGCTGCCAGGATCTTCTGGTTGCGAGTTCGAATGCCACACTCTCCCTGGTTATGATACAAGATACAAGATATAATGTAATTTGGTATCGACGTAGAATTATCCAAAAGTATTTCAGATTTGCTCCAACGTTCCATGTACAAACAGTGACAATATTCTATTAACTTCATAAGCAGATATAGAATTAGTCAGGATGGCCAAACAACGTGCAAATACAAATAGTTTTTGTTATGACCTAGGATTATCTATAAGTATTTCAGATTTCTTTGAAGTTGTATATGTGATAGCAGATTATTTATTACCTGGTTTATGATTTGAAAAATGTAAGCCAAATATTTCTGTGATGGTAAGGCTTTCAAAGAATTATTATTTAGGAAAGAGAATTAAAGAGAGAGTGCCTTACATCTGAATATTTACTATTACTATCAAACCCGTGAAGATCCGGGGTAGAATAGGTCTTTAGCAAACCATGCTTGCCGTAAAAGGCGACTATGCTTGTCGTAAAAGGCGACTAACGGGATCGGGTGATCAAGCTCGCTGACTTGGTTGATGCATATCATCAATCCCAATTGATCGATGCTCATGATGTTAATCACTGGATTGTCTGGTCCAGACTCGATTATTTAAACACCGCCGTCACATAGCTTGAATATTGCTGAGTGCGGCGTTAAACAACAAACCAACCAGCCAACCAACCAAATCGAACAGTGTTCTTCATCTGAACAATGATCACAGATACGTTCATCCACAGACGTATATTACGTCTGAATACGTCTTTGGTTCATCCAAAGTTGTAGGTGGTCTTGTTCTACTACCCAGTTTATTTAATAGTCTGTGATCACTCAGTCTTAGCTTTGTGAAGTGTTACGGTGTTTTCTCATTTTGAAATGTAAATATGCTTCAGTTAGTTCAATATGATCCTTGGTGTGTCAGCTCCATACAGTGTTCGTGGGTTTTACAGGGATACGCCTCTACGACTTCATTCACGATCCTTGATTCAACCGACACGCCATGATGTAATTGAAATAGTGTTCAAAGCGGCATTGGGCCCAATTCACTCACTCCACAGCTAGCGGTATCTGTTCTGGTGGGCTTGGCCCTGCTCCCTCCACATTTAGCCGATACCCTGACCACAACTGAACTATTGTTAAAATCGGCGGTACACTTCTAGCCACTCATCCGTATATACATCGTGAAAAAACCCAACATGGTCTACTGATACAACTTACAAAGCAGTTCGCATAGGCACAGTGTTCACGACCGTCAACTTGAGAGATGAAGACACCCTTACACTGTGTCAGCAGAAAGAACATATCTACTGTAAAACTAACTCAATAAAAGATGAAGAACTCATTCTGTTGAAATGCACTTCAACGATCTGCAACTGAAACATATATCATCACCGGCCTTACCTATGAACCCAATATCACTTAAATACTACTAAATCTATCAGCCCCTTCAGCTAAAATTATCTCCTATTTCATTTTCAAAATGTTCATGCAAAAGAAAAATGTTCATCTCTACACGAGGCCTTAAGCTAAAAATATTTCTGTTACATGTGAATCGTTTATAACTGTCCATTATAACTAGTGATGTTCATGCTTTGTACTCTGCCCCTAGTCCTGCACCATGACCGTGGAATATATTTATTTTATGAAAAAATAATAATCTAGAAATGCATACAAAAGCAAGTCTAGCCATCTCAAGCTAGCTCTATTCTGAAATCAGCATAGAGAATTGTTTTTATTTTTAGAGTCAAGAAGGATATTGTGTAATATAAGATTTCAGAGACTAAATGTTAGTCTACTCTGCCCCCTGTGGGTGTTTATGTACAATAAATCTTCTTCTTCATCATTTATTGCACACAATTCCAAAAACGAGCGTGTACGCTCAAAAACCTTTATTCAAAATGGATTTTAATGATACATGTATTTCAAGTGGTAAAATTAATTTCCGAAGAAAACATTGTGAGGAATAGTTACTAATAGTATAACCAATTCATCTTTCTTAACGAATAACCAGAAAAAATACAAATATTCCAAGAAGCCATAATATTACCATTACGACCATGAACAAAAAAACCAGCCTCTTTTATGCTCAGTTTGTTTTTCAAACGGATATTGATGACAGACGTAAAGAATAGTTATGTCGGAATAAAATATCTATTCTCTTAAATTTGGTTTGGAACTGTAGACTTTTTTCACCAACCCATCGATGTAGAATTCCCCCTCACTGTTGCTGACTGAGGTCGAACCCGAATGGCACCCTCGTCTTCGTACAATCCTCTATGGCGTCCACGGAGTCGGCTAATTAGGAAACAGCGATGAGCTCGGGATTCCGCACGTGCTCCACGTGCAAGTGGCATGTACATTTCAAGTCGAATGACGAGCATGCGAAGTTTGCCGCTAAAATTGCATCTAGACGGCCGTCGAAACCAGACAAGCGAGGTTTTATGGCGAAATATGTAAATACTACAAGCTAACTGGAAAAACTAGCATCGGAAAGAATGCACATCAACGTGGTGTCATGCGTTGCCAGGGTTACTATGTCAGCGGGAGCTATTAACCGAAAAAATATGAGGGTAGTGTGAGACGGTGAATCCGCCCCGTTGAGGGGACACGTCTGGTCAGGATGAGGGTGGTTCCTGATTTACTGGGACTTTAAAATTAAGAGAATGGATACCAACATCCCCTTTTCTATTATTTAGGCTAATGTCAATATTGGGTAATTGTCATGTTACGTTGTAAGTTTGGCGGTGATCAAAGCCGGCCAAGACGCTAAATTAGAAACATTCTAATTGCATTTGACATAATATTGGCTATATAAGCGATTGGATTTTCTTCACGTTTTCGTTGATGTCCTTTGATCTACTGGCTAGGCTGTATATAGTGGTATGTTCCGTCGTTGTTAGGCCGACGTATTGCTGAAAGCGGCGTCTCTCACTCACTCACTGACTGACAAACTCACACTTCATCCACCGATGAGCTGTCACCTCCGACTAGCTGCCGAATCTCGTCCGTCCCGGTTATGTATTATCGTGTGTCTATGTAGAAAAAATACGCAGTTCTTGTCGTGAAGTGTTTTAGTATGTGTTCTTAGTTTCGATTTTCATTCTTGATAAAAAAAATATCATTTGTTGGATTTGTCATGAAAATGTTTCCTCCAGATCTTATTGTATTGTCGCTGTAGTCGAAGCCACACTGCCGGTCGTGATTCATCGTGTACAATGGAGTCCTCGAGTTACACGTTTAATCAACGACACAGTTTAAACCGAAACAATTGATAAGCTCCCCAGAAGTTGGTAATATCGCGATCAGAATCCCAATTCCAGACTTTCCTTAGAATTGATCTGGAAGTGAGAAAAATATGAAATATCTGTAATCCAATATGATAATTCCTGCGTTGAAATTGGCTAATGAAGACAGCGACGACATAAAGCGATACCTGAGACGTACCCGAAGCCGACGCGAGGTTTCAAGACGCCATGTAACGCGCGTCATAACGGATCGGTTTTCTACACCCCATCTGGACCTAGCGAAATTGGCCTCTCGTTATCACGTAGAAATGTATGTGGTGAAATGTTAAAAAACCCAACGGTGCCATTTGAAAATAATTTCGCTATTTTTTCCAGGAGGCGATACTCCATCAGTTGGATCTTTCAAAACAGAGTATGGCTGAGAGGGAACTGGCCCCAAGCTTTGGGTAAACACGGGCCATGTTTACATAGAATTTGTAAAATTCAAAATAAATTCAGAAATAAATGCCGTGAATTCTTGTTAAGCCTACGCGGATTGCGGTTGGGAGTTTCTAGTGGATGTAGCAACTTGGTATCGTAAATTACACAAGCCATAACAGACGAAGCATAACCACACAGGATCAGATGTTATCTCATGTGGTTCCAGATGGATTGAGGATTGATACGCCGGTGCTGTAGTTGCTCCCAAATCGTTGTTTATCCCACAGAACATTTGTCTAGGAATGACGATAATAAAGTAGTCGGTCGGAGGTTTTAATTACAGAAATATAGCATGTAATGCGAAAATTCGGGTCAACTGGTAGACCCCCGTTCCGGTAGAGATTTCAATCAGATCGCATTCACATCCAAAGGTTCCTCTTTAAACTTTGCACTTGGTGTCATAATTGTTAATATTTCTCGTGAAACGGCGTCTTTAGCTGTTCAATATTTGACACGAATTTTAGACGATTTATGTTGGACAAGTGCGGTTTCCCTGTTTGACAGCTGTGTTGTGTTGCGTAACATATGGATATACATTTATCTACATGCGTCCCATACGCACGTGTGTCTATGATATAACCACTCTGTTGGTTATATGATAGCTTTGCATATAGAAGTAAGGCAAAGTTCACGTGGTGATCTGTTAATCTGAAAAGGAGGAATGTTCGATCGACTGTAAAAGAAGACTAAAAATAGCTATAAAAATAACAATTCCACGCATATTTCTAAAAACCAAATTCTTTAAAAAGTTCGAAATTCATTATAAACTTAAGTTTGAAATGTCCTCTAACAACAGTTACGTGATGCGAGTTCGCCCGAAGACCACACAAATGTTGTTATTAAATGAAATCACGTGCTCGTGTGACAACATTATAGTCCGTTTCAAAACATCCCGCACGGGTTGCACGCCAATGTCGAGACACGTACGTATCTGTTACGATGATTGGAGTGTTAATTATTTTCCCAGCGGGAATGTTTGATTTCATATGTCATTGAGTTGGTAAATACATGGTTTTGGTCTGTTTGCCTGTTTACATTATATTAGCTGTAGAAGTGTCGTGCACACAGTGAAGGGTTGTGAAACACAAGCAGGCATGTTATTGGGTCAATGCTACTGAACGGTTGTGTTTTTCTCATCTCTGTGTAACCTAGTAATATATCTGTGTATGTGTCTGTCTTGTGACATGGCGGGATTTAGCGAGAACAGTGTACAATGCGGCGTAAAACAACATTCACTCACTCACTCAATTGGGAAAGATGGCGTCTTTTCCCAATTCAAGAAATAGAGTGAGGGTGGGGATCTAACGAACTCGATTAATCGATACTGCTACTACTACGACCACCACCACCACCACCACCACCACCACCACCACCACTACTATTACTACTACTACTACTACTACTACTACTACTACTACTACTGCTGCTGCTACCAGTCTTACTGCCTGGGTCACTCAAAATCTTTTTGCTGAATTTTAATAAATCAATCTGTACATAATAGGCGATGACGATGATGATAACAACGGTGTGGGGTCGGGGGAAAGGGGATGGGTTGGTTAGGGTTTAAGGAATTGTGCTGAGAAAGAAGCTGTCCTCGTCTTGTCGTATAAATGCTTCTAATGATCGAGGAATCGGTAATAAATGAATGATGATTTAAGTAAAGAACACTTGCATCTCAAAAACTTGTACCTTTAAATTAACTGGTATTATTCCACAAACGAGGTCAAGGATATTCAGGTAGGAAATACCACATTTTAAACATGTAAAAAACATTTATTCTTCATTGCATACTTATGATGAGAAGCTATTGCACAACGAGGCTCCCAGTCGCTCACAATCTGTAAAGTAAACAAACAGTTTTCCTGTCGAACCTAAAACTAGTTGACTGAGTTATTTGCGCTGATGACACAATCTTGTTAACAGCCGTCACGATGTCATTGCCAGAAGATAATGTTCACTGTGAAATAGGTTCTTTTTGTGAGGTGCTTCGTTCGTTTTCTAGAGGTATATATTTCAATTTTGACGTTTACCGATTTGTTTGTTTTAAATATCTTTTTATGTTCACAGATTCTGGCAGTCCATTTTCAGAGGAGAGACATCGCTTATACATGGATCTCAGCGTACCACAAACAAACAAGCCGAACATACTTTACTGTTTGGGTTATTTTTGTATAAACTCATTCTGAAAACGAAACCAGTTTCTTTCCAGCCAAAGTCTCACAGCAAAGAAAGTTGTTTTATTTTCTTTGGGTAGGACGAATCGAATCATGTCGAAACCGGATCGGCCTCGTACGTATGTTGCCACAATAAAAGACGGAAAATCCAGAATGTTTGTAGTTTTACCGTCGTTGTTTTTCCCATCGTGGGATCATTGTGTTCCTGTCATATGACCTGACCTCTGACCTTGGCATGACCTCATGGGTTTTTCCCGTGGATAAACATCAGCGACGGATCATGTTCAGTGTTTTTCGATCCACAGCACTGTCAACAGAATAAACAAACAGTCATAAACCTGACTACAAATTATAATCATTGTTATTTTTATTTGTTAACATGGAAAAGTTTGGAGTTGTCAATTTGCATGAATAGTTATGAATATACCTGATAAACTGAACAGATTGAATATACCTGATAGACGTAATAGACATGAATATACCTTATGAATTGAATAGATATGACCAGCCTTTTCGATGATAATGATTATCATTCTAATCTATGATTTATGACAAGGATGTTAGGATGCTGCTGTTGTTGACAATGAGGATGATGGTGACGGTGATGATGTTGATAATGATTACATCAATTTAGACATCAGTGATAGTGATATTTGTTTCTCATTATCTTGTCAATAATTATAAATTTTACACAATAACAGCTGATTCCACTGACATTTCGGTGGCTGCTTATCAATGTGTTTTTTCGTTTTCAATTCTGGAATAGTCAAGTCAAGTGTTTATATTTTAGATGCATATATTCATATTGCATTGGTACATAACTAACATAGTATTCCAGTGTTTTGCAAAACGTTGCCTCATGTAATGATGTTTGGCATAGATATATACATACCTAGATTAGTAACCTTACATCTTTCGAAGACAAAGGCGTATTATACATATTTGAATTATAACAATACATTTTAGGCGGCTATGGTCGTTTTATGTTATTATACTACTTATATATTAAGGTAAAATGATGTTCATGATATGTAGCATTTATTATAGCCAAATAAATATACTTGAATTTATCTACACACAGATATATGCTGCACAGTTAGTTTTGATTTCTTAAGAAATTCATTTATCGTGAGGTAAATGGTGACCACAAATATCTCATATACGATTAAAGATCTCCGACTAGATGATGAGTTGTGTGGGCGGGAGAGAGGAAAAGACAAGATAGATAGCGAAGTTATAAGCGACTTTAGACAAACATCCAGTCTCATAAATGAAAATATTTTACAGAAAACCCCCCAGAGATTCTCTCCATTTTTAGAGACTAAACACATCTGCAGAGCTATAAATTAGTGTAATTTGAGAACACGGGTGTAGATTCTTATTAACCATCATTGACTGTCTTTGAAAGTTTGTGTGGTAGGAATATTTACACCCCACCCCTACCCCACAACTCTCCCAAACACTTACCATTTTGCTTTTTTGGTGTTTGTTTGTTGTTTATTGTAGTAGAGGGTAGGTACATTACAAAGGGATAGTATACATTTTTATATATAGCTTCATTCATACATGTTAAATAAATATGACGATGAAGATACATATATAAGTAATGATAACATGATAAGGCAGTTCATATTGATTGAAACAATTATCCTCACGACTGCGGATAATTATGTTTCGTCTCCACACAATCCCTTACCGACAGCAGAAGGATGACTTTGATATTCATGAAAATCAATTAAGCATATTATATGTAGTTATCGCTATCACACAGGTAATCCAATCAATTAGTTTTCTCTGCAATGACGGTACTAGTAACGAATGATTATGTCACTAAGATACAGGAGAACTACTGTCATGGCATTATCAGATGTTATATTATCGCTAAAAATTATTCATCAGCCGCATGCAACTCTTCAAAAACAAGAATTTTAAACGTAGTGTCATTTAAATGGGATGAAAATGATAAATTCGTTCCAAAAGACGCCGTGTATATTAAGTTAAGAAACAGTCGTTTAAAATAGATATATACATACGTCCTAGTTGCTGGTGTTTTATTTTAAACAAATTAATATAAATATTTTGATAAATACCAATATCCCAATGTTAGTAGATTCGCATCTCATTGACAGATATGGACAGCTCATCACAGAACATGCTGCCATTGGTTTTAAAAGAAATTACAGTTCGCAAAGTCCGTCCGGATAGAATTATGTTTCGTAATATGTATATAAAGTATGTAAAAAAATTAGAAGTGAAACAAAAAAGCAAAACCATGCTGTTGTTCTGTTAAAGTTTATTGTCGCGTGATGAGCCGTCATTTCTTTATGAACAGTTTGTGTGTGGTTACCAACATTAGAATAAACATAAAAGACGTTAGAACAATTTGCATCTGAGTAAATATATATTCAACACATGGGCATACGAGTGAATGATAGGTACAGTTTACATTTCTTTAAAAAAATCCCAGTAAAAAGTATTATTCAAGAGAGCTATTGACCCATTTAATGAGAAATATACCGGACTACCGCGATCGAAAGATACACAAATAAAAGGAGATATGCTCCCACCAACTTATTTGCTAATTCTAACCACGCAATGCAAGGAAAACGTCTAGACTAGACTTCTTGCAGAGATAAATTGTAAGAAACGTACAATAGATGCATGCATAAAACACGTTAGCAGTGCACCGAAAAATGTGCATTATGTAAAGAAAATCGGTGGTTTTATTCTTTTATTTCACAAAAAGATATCCATGGTGCTTACTTTGTAAGTGATTTAGAAATAAACATTTCGCTTTGTGCGAAATATTTGTGGATATTGTCTGTTTATGTTTCTGAGAGTAGGCGATTATGAATTAAATATTTTTTCGTCACATGAAACCATTGAATTCGTCCAGATGTATCATTATGTTCAGTTACCGAGGTTTAATTTTGTGTGTGCTGCTTTTGATGGTCCCCAAAAGTGCACAAAGTACAAAACTGGTCACAGTGTACGAAACCTCCACGACAAACCTGTTACGACAAATGGTTTTCATCGACACATACATTGCTTTAATTCAATTAATACCGTCGCGGTGAGCTGTGTGCACATGACACTGTAATTGTATTTCAAATAATAATATTAATAAAGAAACGTTATGAATATGATTTGTAATAACAACAGAGAAGATTCCTAATAAACTTAATGTTAAAGTTGAATCGCTGAATGGAATTACTGGGGTTGACATTGGGTTACACTTTCAAAGTTCATTTCCACACTGATAATATTTTCTTAATGTGTGTAGTGGATTTAGAGGTTGAGTCATTTCAAGAGCTTTCTTTAATTTATTTAAAACTATGTAAGTACTTGGCGTGAACTAAATATTTTGGATTATAACATTCTGAAAGAGTTTATCTGAATTAATGTTTATAGTTGCATTGTTTACTGAAACAAGGGTGTGATTGAGAGTTCCGTTTCAAAGATTCAAATTAATAAATCGTTATAAATAAAACTTTTATTTGATTATTCCTGCAATACTCAAGTACTTGGTACTCATATATATTATACATAGTTTCTAACTTGCGCAGTTGAACATAAAGAACCACAAGTTGATAATATGTCAAAAAATCGCAACCACGATTGAGATAGAGACGTGGTCGCTTATTTGTCCGTTGAAACGAGCAAAGCCCCTGTCAAAATCTTTGACAATGGATGTTGTCAGTGCAGTGATACTTATTGCTCCTTATTACGACATCGGGGACATTTTGCGACATTTCTGACGGATATCCCTCCGCCGATGGCCCTCGGGGGACTATATTTCAAGATGTGATAAATGTCGCCAAGTAATTAACAACAAAATCCAGCTTTGAGACTGAATTGTCCCTGAACGTGAGATGGTCTGGTTTCAAGCAGTTTGAATATCCCTTGAAGCAAGTGTTAGTGTACAAACGTGACAGGAGAGGTTGAAAAAGTGATTATATTTAAGGGTAATGTCATCCAAGTTTGTCTTCTCTGTTGACACTTCCTTGAAATAATTAAAATGAGATATTTCTGTTTCAAAATGTTAGTATATATTGAAAACAGTAAAGGCCTCGTGATGTATCAGGGTGTAAGTATTCGTTTTTAGGGACATTTGACATGTATATTTCTGTTAAGAATGGTGCATGACGTCTTACTCTACACAATTTGTATTTGACAAAAGATTGAATTAATGACAAGTGACAATAGTTGACATTAAGACCGGCAGGATGTTTAATAAATAAAAAATGGATTAAGGGATTGACGTTAGCTTCAAAATGATGTATTATACCGGAACACAATTTTTAAATGTTTTTTTAGGAAACACAAAAAAATATTAATACTGAGTTTTTCTGGAGATGATGACGTCATGAGTAATACTGACCCAACTGTGCATCCCGACATGCATCACATATAGTCGCCCCCTGCAGATGCATGTGCGTAGACTATCAAATCAAATCACGGGAAATATAATTACTCTCAGTAAACTCAAGTTTCCCTTTCGACAGTAGTTTAAGATTTGCTTTGTCGGCATTTGTGGTATCTATACCATTTTAATGTAACCTACTTTCCCAAACACAAATGTGAAATTCTATACAGACTGTTATGACATCTTGAAACCAAACACTGCATATTAAAACTGTTTACGTATTACATAATGTACAGTTTGGTTACAAGATATGATGCTACCGCTTGTGTTTTTACTCTACCAATAATGTACTGCTGCTACTAGTTTTACTGCTGCTACTGCTACTACTTTTACTGCTGCTACTGCCACTTCTGCTACCCCCAAAAAACATCTACTACTTTTGATGTTGCTACTTTTACTGCTACTTCTCCTGCCCTTACAACGACTACCACCACAATCTTAAGATTGATATCCTTGTTTGTGCATAACTGAAATAGACACATTCTACTAAAAACGACAACAAAGTAATCATTTATTCTATCATTAGTGGTCAAACAAAAGATACGATAATCAAGGCGGCCAGTATAAACCATTTACCTCAGAAGAAGCAGTAATATCTTACTTTAGAACAAGTCACATTTCTCAATCAACTCTTCTCATCTATTATTGAGTTCATGTGCAAGATTAGCAAGAACAAATTTACTAAAATTCCGTAAAGTACGGCAATGTAAATTAGTTTCCAAGGGAAAATAATTGTATGCCTGACACGCCTATTCACTCGATGCATCTTCCGGCAAATAAACATCAACTTTTAACCAAGAAAGCGAAACCGACATTTTGGAATTCCTCTCTTGACTGCGATGTAGATTTTTTTGTGTCAGAAGACAGAGGGCTTTAATTTCGTTTCCTTTAGTTTACTTTTGTACACTTTGTTTTGGATTTTACATTAA